AAAAAGTTGCTAAAGAAACGGATCAAGTTTTTTTCTTCGAAAAGCCAATATTAATGTATGTTTGGGATTTCCAAAGCAGCTCTAAACAGTTAGCAGACTTATGACAGCTCTAAGATCAACATCTGTTCCAGTGTTTCTTCATCGTCACACAACAATTCAGACAGATATTCAAAGCCAAAGCACAGTGTTTAACATACAAATCATGCAAACAAGTCAACGATACACTCATTTATCAACTTTAATTTTTTCTTCCATCTATACAACATTTTTCAATGCAAAAATACCAATTTGTTGAATTCGTAATTTTAACTGTTTTTTTACATTTTCATTTCTTCTTTGTCTATTTATTTTTTTTCTGATTTCAAACATTGTTCGGTAAAACAGCATGCGGTATTCTTTAAATAAAGTAAAGCCAATTATACCAATAATAGATGAAGCAATACAGCAGTTTAGTGTTTCAACAAAACAGTTTTGTTCAAAGTCAAGAAATGTAAGAGGATTTGGTTTAGTAAAAGTTTAACGGTGTAAAGAAACCAAAAAATTGAAGAATTATAATATTTAGATCATCATTTATGATTCATTAGTGCAACATCTGCGATGCAGTAATTCTCTTGCTCAGTAATCCTGAATGCAATTACCATATAAACACTAAACATTCAGTAATTACTGCATTTATTGTAATCAGAATTAAATAAATTAACCGATAGCTATAACACTTTTAAACGTAAGCCACTGATTCAATGACGACAATAGCAATGATAATAGTTGATGTAGATGATAAGCCAATTTATAAAGCTAAATTAGAGAATTTTTTATAAACGATAACAGCAATAACAAAAAATTTTAATGAATATTAAGTAAATAAAAAAAATTCAAATTAAAATGTAAGAAAAGAGTAGAAAATAGACAAAGCAAGAAAAAAATTTATAATGTTTTTTCGATTGTATTTACAAAGAAAAAAATTTTTTTTTTGAATTCTTTTCTTTTCAATAATGTTTTTTTTCTTGTTTGACACTAAAACAGTTTTATTGATAGCCTGAATGGGTTCCAGAACTTTATTGTCATCATCATCATCATCAGCTTCTGCATCGGGTTGTTCAGCTTTCTGTTGTGACAGCAGCTGTTGCTTGCGCGATTTTAATCAGCAATCGTTTGAAAATCCTAAACCGTCTTCACTTGTTTCTCGTTTCTTCACTCATTTTTCCTCTAACAACACAGATATATGAATGTTGTTAAAGCAAATATGTTTACAATTCTCAGTTCTTTTCTACTATATATCTCTTTCTTTATATAAAAATATATACAACATAGTAGGGAGATAGATAGTTTAAGAAACTGACAACAAGGTTTTTTAGGAAGACGAAAGATGAAGAATGATGATGATTACTGAATTACAACAACAACGCCGACAGTACAGAAGACTGCAACAAAACAGCAAAAGATTCTTCATTCGCCTTCTATGAAAAAATTGTTCTCACGAGCTTTTAATTAATTTACAGATAATATACAAAATTTTTACCTTTCTTTTTTCTTTTTTTCTCTACCTTTATAATGGTCATATTTTTATAAAGTTTAAATTTAGAAAAGAGAAAGCAAGTTTCTGAAGAAACCAAATAAAAGCTTGTTCAAAATTTAGTTATTGAGATTGTCGTCTTAATTAAGACCTAATTATAATTATTCATCTATTTACTGGTTATTTTATGCAAAAATATATTCTGCCCTACTGTTTTCCTCTCAAAATCGACAAATAGTTTGTTTTTGGTTGTTGCTAACGAAATGTTGTATAGTCGTTGGCTTAAAAGTTTTTTGCCTACTTTTCTACTGTTTGTTTCGTCTTCACTTATGAGCTTATTTTCGTCAGATTGAAATTTTTAAGCAATAACAGATTTTTTGTTTGGTTTATATGAAACGAAGAATTTTATTAAATATTTAATAATTTTTTAATTTAGTTTTTTTTTTGTTGAACAGAAAACTTAGTAAATTTGTAAATCTGTTTATTTACCAAAACTTTTCCACTTTAGTATTATTGTTTGGCTCCTTTTCTCTGATCCAAAGTTAAGCTACTGAGAGCACGGTTTTCCAGAAAGGTCGGTGGAACAGAAAGATAGGTCATGGTCTGATCGTATTAACATCTGTCAACTAGCAGTTTCAAAAGTTTATTTTTTTTTATGGCCTTTATTTATCACTGCAAAAACTTATCTGCTAATTAGAGCTGGTAAAATCAGTTGAAAGAAAAAAAATGTGTAAAATAAAAAGAAAAAAGACAAAAAAAAAAACTCTGTTGTTTTTGTCTTTATTAGCTGTTGTTTACTATGGTATTGCAGAAAAGATGGAAAACTGATCTGTTGATGGCAAAGATGCGGATGCTTAATCGACATGCAATTACCTTTACTGCAATAAACAAAATTCGACATTTTCAATTAGCTCTTCAAAAATGAATTTAATAGTTTTTGAAGAAAAAGAAGAAGAAGCAGAAAACTAAGAAACCATCAAACAACACAACACAACTAATAGTTATTTTAGCTAAAAATAGGAGCTTTTTACTGAACAGCAGTAAGAAGAAAAAATTCTTTAAAAACTTTGTTGCTCATATGCATATACATATAAATGCATACGTCAACCGAGCGACAAACAAATATCATCAAATTTGTTTGATTCATCCCGCTCCAGTTGACCGCAAAATGGATGCCATTTAAAAGAGTTGCGAATCAATCTCAAGAAAGAAATCTTTTTTTTTTTTTTTTTTTTTTTTTTTTTTTT